AAGCAGGGGTGGTGGGGAACTAAGTAGCAGGTGGCAGCTTGACCTTTTGCCTCTTGCACTCCCTGGACCTTGCCCCTGCCCTTGACTTGTGTCTCTGCCTACTCCTGGCTTCCACTGCTGTCCCCAGCAGATCCAAGCACGGGATCGCCAGACCCACTCCTCACCTGCTCCTATCCCATACTGCAGGGAGCAGCTGTTGGGGGGTGAAGTGGAGAGTAGGGGAGGTGGTGCTGAACATGAAGGGGAAAGGTGGGGGGCTTCTTATGTGCTCTGGGGGCTGGTTTGGCTGGGGACAGCATCAGCAGTGTGCCTGTTTTTTCCTTCCAGTGCCTGCTTCCTGCTAATGAGGAAGACTGGGAAGGGGTGGGAGAGAGGGAGAGAAGCCAAGCAGAGAAGGAGGAATCTGAACACTGCTATTGCTGCTGTCCCTAGCTGGACAGCCACTCCCCACAACTCTCAACTGAAGCAATCTGGCTCCTAGCTGATGCAAAGCTGCTCCTGATCCACTTCTGCCCCATGTTATAAGGAGCAGCTGTGGTAAGGATCAGATTCTTCTGTTGGGGAGGAGGGAGAGGAGCCTGGCAGGGATAGGGGAAATCTGTGCACCAGCACTGCTGTCCCCAGCTGAGTGGTGCTTCCTGCACAGTTGCTTCCTAGTCTGATGCTTGATTCTAAGACGAAGCTTCCTTTCCCTTCATCCTCCTTCCCCCTGCTGTTGAACCCTGGAATCGAGTAAATATGCCGTTATAAAGTTGTGATAAATGTAAGGAAGTTCAAAGTTGGCAATTTAGAACAGCACCTTATTTGTGTTTATAAGACGTGCAGTGTCTGGCACTGTATTTAAACACTCTAAAGCGGTGATTGTCTCATCAGGGTACTGGGGTGCTTTGATCCTCTCAAGAGAGCTTGTGGGTTGTGTCTCAGTGTTAACACAGTTAGGTGTGTAAATGTCATTCACAAGATAAACCCTGAAAGGGATCCACAGTGTTAAAAATGTTCTGAGCTACTGTGGTCTTTCTGAGTTCTTTGCAGTGGAAGAATTGCTTTATTATTTTTCGGGAGTCAAAAAATTAGTGACAGCCGAGTGCTGACATTTTTCCAAGACACCTTGAGTCTAAAAAGACACCCTACTCCAAAGCAAGGGTGTCAACTCTTTGGGACAGGAGGGCTTAATTCTATATTTCAAGTGAGGTCTAAAGGTTATTAGAGAAACTCCATACCCTTGTTTGTCTACAGCAGGTTTCCAAGGAACGTCTGTAGGAGGCTTGTATAGAAATCAAGGACAGTACACCGCTTTTTTCTCCCCTTGTAATAGAACGTTTCTTCAATTCCTAATTTGAGCATTTGGTGCCCCTGATAACAAAAGTCCAAATCTATTCTCCAAATGCATTACACCGTCTTTCTTTCCTCCTCCACTTTTCCTCTCTTGGAGCCTCTTCCCTGCTTCCTTCCCAGAATCCTCCCTCAGTTCCCATCCCTTGAAGCTTTCTTACTCATCCCTTTTTTCCTGTACTATCCGCTTATACTCAGCGATGAAATAGTTAGTGGTGACATTGAAGTGTCGTCATAGCTCCAGCCCTTATGCTGAGATTAAGAGGTGGTGGGAGTTCATGCGTCTGTGCCATTTGTTTCTGACTGCTTGCAGACTTGAGTAGATACCAAGGCTTATTCTGGGCTTGTGTTTGGGAGGCGCTCTCTGTAGCCAGGGTGGTTAGAAATGGGTTTTTTGTTTGTTTTTTTCATTAAGTACATGAAATCTCGATCCTGTTCAAGTTAGGTGGGCCTCATAAGGCCAGATGCTCAAAAGAGCTAGATGCAAAGTATGTCTGTGTGTGGGGGGGGGAGAGAAAATCTGTATAAAATGTGTGTACTTATGTGTGCATGTCATTTCAATACCATGGACATTTTCGGTAGCTGGTTCATAATATATTGAATATGTAAAATCACACACAACTCTAGGCTGGGACATAAAATCATTTGTTGGTGCTCCTATTCTTGGTATTAAGGTGGTGGCATAGCCCTTGAGCACTGAAGATTGACACAATTTTAGACGTGTGTGCATGCATACATATGTCATAGAATCATAGAAGTAGGGTCGGAAGGGACCTTATAGATCTTCAAGTCTGACCTCCTGCCTGGGCAGAAGGAAAACTGGGCTCAAATGACCCCAGCCAGGTAGGCATTGAGCCTCTTCTTAAAGACCCCCAGGGTAGGAGCCAGCACCACTTCCCTTGGAAGTTGGGTCCAGATCCTAGCCGCCCTAACTGTGAAGTAGTTCTTTCAGATGTCTAATCTAAACC